AAAACTGGCCAACGGAAAGACCTGGAGCAGCAGCAAAGTGTCCCTGTGACAATGATTGTTTCTCCCACGACATGTGGTTCCTCCGTATAATAACCCTATTCTAGTTAGTTATTAGGTCCCTTATTTTCCTTGCAGTTCAAGCTCCGACCCCCTTCCGAACGCCCTAAGCTCCAAGGTCTTGACGTGCTACCGTTTTAGTGATACTCCTCTTTCGTATTAGGGTTAGGGTTTGGGGCTTAGGGTTTAGGATTTACGCTTCCGTGCCACAACTATAGTCTAGTGCACTCCCCGACGCCGTTTTCTAGTTGTGAAGGCCCTTCGATTGTACCCTAGGTTTGGAACCCCCAAACTCAATGAGTCCGGCCCGATTCGATACTCCTAACATCGTTGCAACAGTGTATACAGCCGCTTAAGAACTGTCTACCGGCTCCGGGTTGAGGGTTTCAGGGATTTAGGTTTGGGGTTTAGGGTTGAAGCCCTTTAGCCCTAAACTCTCAAACCCAAAACCCTCAAACCCTAAATCGGCCAGGCTGCCTGAGCAAGCGGCGCTTCTTCTGCCATCTTCCGCACAGGCACCTTAGCCTTTAAGGCCAAAGGGTTAGGGCGTAGGAGTTAAGGGCCTGTAGAGTTTGGGTTTATAGGCTTTGGGGCTTTGATCCTAAACCCTAAACCCTGAACCCTAAACCCTAAACCCTAAACCCTAAACCCTAAACCCTGAACCCTGTGTTGGGGTTTCGGCACAGGCAACTCTGTGGGTTTAGAGATCAGCTCTCTCAGGTTTCCGTTTGCTCAGGGCCCCATATTTTGGGCCTTAGGGTTTAGGGCGTAGGGTTTAGAGGGCTTTAGGGTTTAGGGTTTAGGGTTTAGGGTTTAGGGTTTAGGGTTTAGGGCCTAAACCCAGATGGCTGAACACGAAACCTTGACAAGGAAGCAATCGCTACAAATCCCGCTTGAACCTTATGCAACAGCTTGAAAGCCATGGCAAACAAACCCTGGTAAAACAAAACAAGGACATGTTGGACTCCATCACAAACTGTGGCAAATTTTGTTTTAGCGACGCTATACCACCTTGCAGAACCCTGTGTTTTGCCCCTCTGGCCGGGTCTTTGCCGAGCCGAGGTCGTACGTCCACTACGTCTCGAGGGACTTACAGTGCTACACGCACCTCGGTGCTCATGTTTGCCCAGTTTTCTCAATCACCTTCTTCGTTCATCTTTGATTTTCATAGGGCTTTTGAGTTCACCCTCAAACCCTAAACCCTAAACCCTAAGCCCTAAACCCTAAACCCTAAACCCGTAAACCCTAAACCCCTAAACCCAGCAAGCTTAGTATAGAAGCCTGAACAGGGTTTGGGGTTTAGGGTTTA